GCCATCAGTAGAAAAACAGGAGTTATTTCCCACGGATTCTTGTAGAGACAGCTTCTGGAAAACCAATGACGATGCAGACTGCCGTGTAGTAGTAGAATAAAATAGATCTCTATTTTCTGGAGCTATTTTGCTAACTGCTGCTCCTTGAAGGAGGGTTTAAAACCTGCTGAAACGTCGGATGGGAGGCTCATTTTACTGGCTGATAAATAATTAGTAAGAGACGCTAGCAGAGAAGAATTCTATCAGTTTCTTAATCAGCTACGGCCATGCTGGATTAGAACCGGCAAACTCTGATTTTAAGTTGTTAGCTGTGGTCCTTGCACACCAACATGAAGATACCGTTCTAGTAACTTTACACGGATGGAGGCTAGGAGACGTTCCGCCGTGGTCACAGTAACAAAAACGTGGTGCAAAATCAGTTACTTTATAAATACTGGTCATTTGCAGCGTTAAGAAACAGGACATTAAAAACAATCAATCTCCCCATAGGACAGCTGTGATGAGGAACTCTTCTTTTCCTAAGCGAAGCCGCGGTCTGAACTGCTGTCTCACGACTACTGTACGGTCACTCACTCTAAGAGGAGGTGCTCGCCAGAGGTCCCCACGCACTCACACACTCGGCATGAGTCAGCACAGCCCCCATCACCCATAGGTCTGGCGGACTCACGACTCAGTGGAGATGAATAAGGCCGACATTCCGCAGGAAAGCACAGCTGACTGAGTCCCGGCCTGTCGCTCGGGCTACTGATGGCACCCCATTAGGTAACTGAATACAAAGGGTTGGTTTACTTTTTTTTAATGCTGTGATACTTAAATGTTAAATCAGCATTTTCAAGTGATCTGAATTATTTCAATTACATATGAGCATTCATTTTGTTTTTTGCAAAAACTCAGTATTAGGTAATAGTTACATACTACTACAATAACATTCCTCTGCTGTACAAATTAAACCATTTAAAAGAAATGAGCATTCTAAGAATTATATACAAAAGAAACCTGTAGGCAGTGTTGAAATGAAATGCAAGATGGTGTTGCTAGCTCTACTGTTTTAAAATACCTTCGAAAAGTAAAATGAAAATACCCTTCAACATATCCAGGCTTACGAGTCTCAAGAAAATCAAACGTCAAAAAAATTCTAGAAAGCTGTGAAAAGCATATATACATTTTCCTTATGACCTTATGAAGCTTCACACTTTGAAAAGCTGCTAAGTTCCAGTATCGACTTATTCACACGGCAACCTTTCCCGCCCCGAAAGCTCCCATCTTGAATGCAGTTCCCTCTGGTGGCGAATCAAGCTCTGCGGGGTCCTCCCGTGGCGAAGGAGGAAGTCCGCCGCGGCCGGTGTGCGAGCGCCACGCTGCGCTCAGTCTCCTGCGAGGACTCAGACGCACAGGTCTAACTCGGCCGCATCCACACCCTCTTCCCTGAACCACTCACATCTGCACAGCGCCCTCATGAACCCAGCCACGTCTGGAACTCCGCCGCACACCGAGCCCGAGTCCTGAAATGACACAGATCGAGAAAAGCCCACGCGTGCCCTGGGGGGCGGGGCCGCCAGCCACGCTCTCCAACCTGGACTAAAACAAAAAGGGAAAATGAAAACCGTTCACTTAACAGCAGATTAGCAGTAATGTTCCTCATGAATCGATAAGAGTGCCTGGTGCTGAATAGCTAACAGCAAATGCTGGATTTGGGTTTAATATCGTAGCTGTTTATTGGAAATTAGGCCTCTTGCTGAGCCGGTCTCTTCAAATCCCTGATCTGTTTCACTAAATAGGTCTTCTCGTCGTTGAACTGCTCATCCTCGGTCCTGTCGTTCTGAAACTTGCTGAGGAACTCTATGAGCTTGGCCTGGTTCTTGAGCAGGATGTCCAGGATGGGCTGTGTCTTGTTAGGGTTGGCTACAAACACCTGCGTGGAGAGAGACCCAGATCAGTCATGGGGAGAGGCCGGGCCGCAGAGCCTGAGCGTAGGGCCGAGCACGCAGCACCCTGGGCTCTCCTGGGCAGCGGGGAGGCTGCAGAATTCGTTTTGCACTGGAAAACCTTATTTACAATTTGGAGAAATAACTAATGTGTTTCGGCACAAACAGGATGGACAAGCTCACTCTGCTTGTCCTGAGACACCGTGGTGAGCACTAAACGCAGACATTACGTTTGGAATAAAATGGGCAGAAACTATTTCTGGGCACAAAGGTCCGATGAATGTTAAGAGTAAGAACTTGCATGGAAAGCATGAAGAATGCTTTTGCTGAGTGACTAATCACCTTCCCTGATGAAGACAGATGACACTGCTCTACGATAAACTTTCTTGGTCCCATCCAAAGGCGACACCCAGTTTTCAGGTCTTTCTGCTTAAATGTTGTTTACACAGCATACAAACAAACGGGACCGAGCTGTCGCACTTAGGCTGCCCAAATGAGGTTAATAATACCCCAGCTAGCTGCTAATAAAACGAGACGGACACCCTGGAGGAAGCTGCTGCTTACGGTGTCAGTACTGTACCTTAAAAACGTGAAAGGCCTCAAACTGGATGTTCCGGCTTTTGTCTCGTAGAAGGTTCATCATTAACTTAAGGTTTTCAGGCTTACTGATGTATTTTGTCATAATTGTGAAGTTGTGTCTGTCTAATAGTAGCTCCCCGAGAAGCTGAGAAAACAAAGAATTACTCTTACACTATCATTAAGATAAAGCAAAAAAATAATTTTTAAAAGCCCCACGACTCATTTTACCCCCGTCATTAAGCCCAGAGTACTGCAGGCTAGGAAGACGGATGTGCTGAACTGGCACTCGGTGGCAGTGTCTGATCAGAGGACGCAGAGTTACAGACGGCGCTGTCCTCTCACACACACAGGCTCTTCAAGGGAGATCACCCCAAGGTGAGACGGGGAAGAGGAGGAGACCTGAATTCAGATTCCTCCTGGGCAGATTAAATTTAAAAGGAATCTGGCCAAGAACACAAAGAGAAGTGTGATTCCCCCCAAAGTCTGTGTGCTCCCACCTGGAGGTCCTGTCGGGATCACCCGCTGGGAGAACGGAGTATGTGTTTATTTTCTGCCCTAGAAGTGTGGTGGAGTGGGGGTCCCGAGCTTTCTGCAAGGGGCCCCACAGTGAGGGGGTGGACTCTGGGCCAGGCGGTCTGTGGGGCAACTCCTTGTACCCGCTGCTGCAGCCCCAAACAGCCACAGACAACGTGAATCAACGGGCACATCTGTGTCCTATACAGCTTTATACGAAACAGGCCGCTGGCTGATCTGGGTCACAGGGCTGGAGTTTGCCAACCCCTGTTTGAGTTTATTTATTTTAAACTTTATTTTAACTTTAATTCGATTTGACCAGAGAGAGACAGAGAGAGAGAGAGAGAGAGAGAGAGAGAAAGAGAGAGAGAGAAAGAGAGAGAAAGAGAGAGAGAGAAAGAGAGAAAGCAAGCTGCCAGATCTGGAACTTGAACTGTGGTCAGCCATGTGGGAGTGTGGGAGTCCGGCGCCCTTAATCACCACGCCACCTGCCGGCCCCACTGCTGTTCGAGTTTAAATCCCACACTGATCATTAAGTTTCAAGTGACACTGTCCACACGTGTTCTGACACAAAGCGGCTGACCGCCTGCAGTTCACAGCTTCCTACTCCCACGCTGTCCCTCCCCTCACAGCCAGCCTGTGCCCTTCAGGCAGCGCCCCAGGGAGCAGAGGCCTGAAATGCCTGCATCTAGAATAGTTGGTATGGTTCTAAGTTTTAAAAAATATGGTTCAAAAGTCTAAAACACTGCACTGCCAGGACAGAAAGGCCTGTGAATGTGTGCACATCCCCTCGTGGTGTCTCCACTTCACAGGAAATGGGCAGTTTCCACGAGGACCGTTTGTCCTGCACAATCCTGCCCACTGACACAAGTCTCTCCAACGGGCCACACCCACCCGGCACATCTCTGCTTCCCCAAGTCCACGTTTCCTTCTTTCCAGTGGAACAGAAGATGTGAGCACGCACGTGGCAGGGTGCGCAGGAGGGAGAGGAAACACCTTGCCAGGGTCTGGTCATCCGTAACCCCCTTTCCCAGCCCCCCTATCTTCGGGATCCCGGGTATACCCGGCATGTTTTCAGGCCAACCCAGGACCAGCACCTGGTCGGCCATGTGGTTTCCAGCACCACAGCTGCCAGGCTGGGCCCTAAACCCACATTTCAAAATACAGGGTGAAGAGAAAAGGTCTCAAAGCAAATACTCTGTCCTACCTTGAGGGACTGTCTTTTCGTCACATAGTTTTCTGAATGAAGTAACTTCTCATATTCACTGAAAAACTAGGAGACAAGAAGACACACACCAGTGTTATGAACAGATCGGCAGACACACTTCCACACACACAAACCACCGGCTGCCGAGTGAGCCCTCCCGGAGCTGTCTCCTCCACACCTTCCTCTGACGACCTTGGAGACCCTCAAATCCTCTTCAGCAAGAGGGCTTCTGGGACTGACCCCTTCCTGGGTCCTGGGCTCTGCGACACCCCAGAAGCCATGTGCACAAAACCCGCTCCCTCCCCCGCGGCTCCTCTGCTGCGTGGGCTCCCATTTCCTGCTGTTAGACTGGAAAGCTGGTGCTCTTACAGACAAGGACGTGACCTGCCCGCAGCACGGCCACAGAGGCCTGGCCGCTTCTTCCATACGTGAAGCAATGAGAAGGAATACTGAGAAACAGAGGTTGGGAGAAGTTACACAACAGCACTGGGTCCCCCAGGAGGTATCCTTGAGAACGGGGTCCTTGGGCTTGAACTTGAGGGATGGGGGGCTTCATTTAGAAACGTGGGGGGGCGGGTGCTGCTGGGGAGCAGGACAGGGAGCGGGCACGCTCAACGACAGCATGCTCTGCGCTTTTGAGACGGCGCCACACGCAGTGTCCCTGGAGTGGTCAGGGCAGGAGGATCACAGCAGGGAGGCAGGAATGGAAAGCAGGGGTACACCTGGAAAACTTGGTAGAGCTTGGAGACTTTATCTATATTTTGGGGGGTTGTTTGTTCAAACTACAAATAGTTTTACAATGTTCTAATAATTTTTTAAAAATTTTAAAATTTTGCCACAAGGAGTGTGGCTTACCAGAGACAGAGGAAAAGGGAAAAAACAGCCCCCCCATGGAGGATGAAAACAGCGCAATCTCTTCTTTTCTCCTTTCAGGATTCTGGGTCTATGTACACATGTGTCCAGCATATTTATTTATTTTTAAGAAAGCCTTTAAAATTTTATTAACTCATTCACTTATTTTAATTTGACCAGAGAGAGAGAGAAAGTGCAAAAGCAAGCCACCAGGTCTGAGACTTGAACTGTGGTCTGGATGGCCATGTGAGACTATCCAGCACCTTGACTACCACACCACCTGCTGGTTCCCCCAGCATGTTTACTTTTTAAAAAAAAATATTTTATTTAACTTTATTTATTTATTTTAATTTGACCAGAGAGGGAGACTGACCAGAGAGGGAGAGGGAGAGAAAGCAAGAAAGCAAGCTGCCAGGTCCAGGGCTCAAGGCAGCTGGCCACGTGGGAGTCCAGCCCTCACCCACCACGGCACCTGCCAGCCCCTTCCCCAGCACGTTTGTCAGGGGCTGGGTCAGGACTTGAACTGTGCAGCTGGCCACATGGGACCCAGTCACCTTAACCACCATGCCACCAGCTGGCCCAGAATATTCTAAAATTTTACAAAACTAGTCTGACTCTTTACAAAGATCGGCTTTATTTACGCAATGTCACCCCAGTGGCTGTGTCCATCCACTATATGACGGTCTCATGTGACTCCCCTTTAAGAATGCCAATGGGAGAGATTTTGAGGCCCCAGTGCTGGAAAAGCCTATGTTCTTTTGAGTAACCAGCATATATTTTACTTTACAAATAGGATTTTACTTACTTTAGTTTTGCTACATGCCTTTGCCACAGAGAGAGGGAGGGAAAGTGAGAAATCACCCCCGGGGGGATGGCCATGCTGCAATCCCTTCTCCTCTGGGGATCTTGGGTCTGTAAGCACAATTGCCTGACATGGTTTTTAAGCCATGGGACTCAAACCGTGCAGCCCATCTTGTGGGACCCAGCCGCCGTAACCATCCCACCACCTGCTGGCCCACAAATACGATTTTTAAACTAATTCTGTTTCCCTCTTTGTTTTGGTTATTAGGAAGCTCAGAGCCCAAAGGTACAGGATTTTAGAGCATGTACCTTGCGTGACCACCTCACCTCGGCTTTGATAAAAGAGCTGACACAATGCCCGGCCCGGGACACATACCCTGTCTCGTCCTTGCAATGCTGCTGGCGGGCAGGTACTACTATGCGCCTCCCTGTAGGCAGGAGGATCTGATAGGCGCAGAGGGCGAGCCAAGGCAGCAGGCTGAGGTCTGGTCAGCTGGGTAGGGCTGGGACCTGGAGCGACTCTAGGCAGTGATGTGGAAGCCCATGTTTCTAACTACTGTGAGATGAGTGCTCCCATTCTGACGTAGCACACATCTTTCAAACCCCGCACCTGTACCCAACGGGCAGAAATAAAACAGAGGAGCAGCCGCGATTAAGCCGTCCATGAGGCTGTTCTGGAGGGACTTCACACCCGGCGCTGGGGTATGATGCTGCTGGGAGCGGAGGGAGGGTGGGAGACGGGGACACGGGAGAAAGACAAGTGCAACTGTCTCTAAGGAGCTTACAGTTCAGCTGAACAGCGAAGTGCACAATGGAGGATTAACACTTAACAATCCGAGCACCCAATGGAAGAATGAAAACCTGAGCCAAATCTGGTGGGAGGCAGGAGCTTTAAGTGGCGGTTATACTGACTTCTCAGAGCACCGACAGGCTCGGCGATGGGAGTCAGACCACTAAGGCGCGAGGAGGCGCTGTGGGTGGCGGGGGAGCCTCCTGAGGACAGCAGGACAGGGACCCAACGGCAGAGAACGCGGGCTGGCTGTGCGATCACAGGAAGCTGGCTATCCAAGCAAACTGGGGCCCATCTACACATCTCAAGGGGGATGCTGTCACCGGGAATGTCTGACACGGACTCCGAGATGGAAGGGACCTCAGATGGGTGAGTGCCATGTCCTCACTTTACAAATAAGGACAGACTTCTAAATCCCCAAGCGGTAACTGCCTTGGCCACAGCCATGAGGGCAGCAGAGCAGGAGCAAGCGGTCCCACCCCAGCCCCAGCCAGCGCTGCTCGTCCTGCGCTGCCGCCGCCCTCGCTATCTATGTGCAGCAGGGATGCGGGGCCACTGATGGGAAGGAAGGAAGAGTCAACCTGTCAGACAACAGCTTCCCTTCCAGCCTCGCTATATCACCATTCAGCAGCAAATGCTCTATTTTCTTATTCCACAGTAAGGAAAGATGCAAAGGGCAGTGTGACAATCAAAAAGATTCAGCTTTGAGCCCAGCCAAGGTGGCACATGTTGCTAAGGTTGCCCGTAGGCTGAGGCCACAGAGAGGCCCGGGCTCAATTCTTGGTCCAACCTAAAGGCTGGGCACAGTCGTGGGTGCCCTGGAATCAGTTACTGGGAGGTTGAGGCAGGAGCACTGACACAGTGAGGCCCCTTCTTTATTGGGGGGAAAAAAGATCAAATTCTGCTTTTGACAAAGTAGCACTCTATATGTTGTTTCAGTAGAAAAATTATTACCATACTTTAAAACATTATATATGCAGAATGAATATTCTGGAACAAACTCTAGATTTAAATCTTTTATTTTTGATAGCAAATGTTGTAATCTGTTATTTAAGAATGACTGTTTAAGAACAATTTTTCATATACTTACTCTATCATAATGCTGTTCCAAAAATTCTGCACTGAGCAATTTATGTCTTGTAAGTAAATCCTAGAAAAAGAAAAAAAAGTTGTAAAGTTCACCATTCAACTTCTTTCAGAAAAGAGAATCCTAAAACATCCTATGCCATTTTACCTGACAAATGCTATTGTTAAAACTACCTAACAGGTGAGCATGAATTATATTAAAAGTATTGATTATAAAAGCAAAGAAACTCATCAATAATTTGAAATTGCAATTTTAGAAATTATGATGGAATAGAGTGCTATGCCCATGTATGCTGGTGGAAAAAGAGGACATTTCTTTCATTAGAAGAAGTATTGGAGATTTGATTTCTTCCTCCTAAATTCAATTACATTGTTTCATATCTAATGCAAATTTTTTTTTTTTTGGAGAGGTTTTTGCTATAGGGCGTGTGCGCTTGCCAGACAGACAGAGGGACAGAGATACAGAAAGCAAGAAGTCATCCCCCGGGGGGGGATGGCCTCACCGCAATCCTTTCTCCTCTTGGGATCTTGGGCAAGCACGCACATGCGCCCGGGGTGAGTTTTAAGCCACCAGGTCCGGGATGCGAACCGCGGTCGACTACATGGGAGTCCAGCGACATAGCCATTCGGCTAACTGCTGGTCCTCTAATGCAATTTTTAAAAAAATTTGCTATAGGGCATGTATACTCACCAGAGAGAGACTGAGAGACAGAGACAGAGGAAGGGAAAATGAAAAATCACCCCCAGAGGGGATGACTATGCTCCAACCTCTTCTCCTCCATTCTCCTCTTGGGATTCGGCACATGCACACACACATACGCAGTGTTTTTCAAGCCACGGGGTCCAGTACTCAAACTGCACAGTTGGCCATGTGGGATCCAGCTATCTTAACCACCATCCCATCAACTGGCCCCAGAGGTATAATTTTTTTTTTTTAAAGGCCTCATATTACAAACACTAGCTCCTGAGCATGCAGAATAATGTTGCAAAACTGTAGAATTAATGATTAGTTTGCCCTACAGTCCAATTCTGCATTATTATGAAGTCGAGCTTACATCTCACCCCATTGCTTCCCAGTAAATCAACTCAAGGACCATTCACTCAGAAAAATCTATGTGCAGGTAAGAGTTCTAGGTGCTGGGACTTCGAAGATGAAATGATATAAAATTCCTGCCTTCGAGGACCTAGACGCTAGCAATGGTCCAGCCCTGGTCTCCTCGGGTAGGAAAGGGAATGGGAAGACACCACAGCAGGACTGCCCAGTCCGCGTCTGGGGAATTAATGAACGAAGTTCCTTCCTCATCATCACTAGAGAGATTAATGCAACAATCCCTCCTCCAAGCCAACTTCCCTTGTTTTCTTTCCTGGTTACACTGGAAGGGAGCTCGTTATGATGAACGGGGGCCTCCTGCTGCACATTTAGTGTAACAGTGGTCCCGAGAAATGACCGTGGCCCAGCTAACGAGGAGGGCACTGCAGTTGTCAGTTTCCTTGTGCAGACCCGTCAGGTCTCAAGATTCTGCACGGAGCTCTCTGGTCACCTACCTTCTTTTCCATCCTTTTAACTAATGACGTGGGGAGTTGCAGGTAGGTTTTTAAATTTTTTTAAATTTCTTTTTTGTTATTATTTTTTATTAAATGTATTTATTTACATTCATTTACTATACATCATTATAGCATACAAAATGAGATTTTCCATCCAGAATACACTGTATATTGGCTCAATCAAGCACATCAATATACATGTTATCATCAACAAATAATTTTCTATTTCTTGTTTCCTGGATATTTTGCCTTTTTTCCCCACCCTTGATTCCCTATCTCTCACCCTCTGCCATCTCCCACCCTCCTCCCACACTGTCTCTGGTATCTATGGTTGCTTCCTATGCCTTTCCCCCCACATTTTATTGATTCACTAAAGATCTTAATTAATCTAAATATTTTCAATAGCAAGCACAGCCGATATATACACATCCATGAACCCAAGTCTGGCTTTAGGCATAAACCTCAGTGAGTAGAATGGACATACTATAAGGTAGCACCTAGCTGGGGCTATACAGCTTACTGCAGTCATCAAATAGGTATTTTTAATTTTTAATTTCAAGAAGAACAGTTTTTTTTTTCTGAAACATTTTTAAAATTAGTTAATTTACATTTATTCCCTAAGCATTATCACAGCATACAAAATGTGATTTCCCGTCCAGAATATACTGCGTAGTGGCTTAATCATGCATGTTATCGTCAATAATTTTCCATTTCTAGTTACACACACACACATTTTACTCCTATTTCTGACCCTCTGCCCTTTCCCACCCTCTTCTCACGCTAACTCTGGTGTCTACATTTGTCTTCTATCCTCCCTCATTTTATTTATCACACAATTTCTTAAATAATCTAACTACTTTCAATAGCAAGTTCAGCTGGTAATTTCAAGAAAAGCAGTTTTAACTTTAGTAAATCAAAGAAATGCTAAGGAACTTTGCTCAAAACTTAAAGCCAGGAAACAGGTTAGGATTCTGTTCAAAGAGTAGGTACATGAACCTATCAACAGCTCAAGACAGGACAAAAATCGTTAAAACCGGACAACAAAGCCTAGAAGAAAATCGGCAATATTTAGTCAAAAGTCATAAAATGCTATTTCACCAGATCAGTCTCATGTACTTAATCGATCTTCTGCTGTGGTTCGATCTTCCTGATTGAATTCTGGGATATAATATTCAACTCCAGACTTGTCCCTATGATTAAGTTGGCCATTTTCTTAGTTTTTAAATTTTTATTTCTGTGTGTCTGAATTTAATTTTCCTGATATAGCACTCCCTTGAGAACTTCTTGGAGATCTGGTCTGGTGCTGCAGGTAGGTTCTTTCGACAGGTCTCACCCTATCGCCATCCTCCTGTCCCGGCCTTCCAGTTAGCGAGGACTGCAGGTGTGCGCCACTGTGCTGGACAGCCAATGCTCACTGCAGCCAGGCTCGGTGTGGCCTGACACCCGGGTCTGCTTGTACTGACACTCACACCATGACAAAGGCGAGCGGAGGTGAGAGCAGCAGCAGAGCTGGTTTGGCCCAGGCAGCCATGCCCTCACCCCATCTGCTTGCACCTGGGGGTGAGTATGACTGAGCTTACTCTCAGCAAATCCATGCTGCTGTTTCCTTTCCAAAATGCTCAGAAATCGTCTCTTTAGAAACACTTTGCACACCCTCACAAGCTCTGGGGAACCTACTCTCATTAACTCTGGAAAACTGGAAGTATATTTGTTGGCCCATTAATGCCCACCCACCTTAAATCCTAAAAATAAAAAACTACTCTACCAAATATTTGTCCTGTGGTTTACTGTTAATGTCTCGGTGCCCACTCATTCAGGCTGTGACTCTCAGGCTCACTTAGAGCAGGTACTTTCCGTTGCCCCCTAAGACGCAGTGCCTGTTCCAGGGACTTGTTTGGAAATGTGTGTGTGTGCAGAATGCACTTTCTGGTGACAGGGATCTCATCACGTTCTCAAAGCAGAGCGCGACCCACAGATCTATTCTCCCTTTCCATTATAAAAACACCCTCTGCAAAGAAGACCCCAGCACGGCAGGGGACATGTTCTTTCCTGTGTCAGCACCACAGAGAAGGTGCGAGGCTGCCCTCCCGGTGTCTCTCTGCTCTGACTGGGGTTCTTCTAGGGGGAGTGCGGAGGTAGCCTGGGCTGGTTGCTGGGTGGCAGTATAGGCACTTTCGGGTTAGGGTGGTAGGTCTGTGCCTCTCTTGAGGGAACTATCTTGGCAATGGGGTCTGCTTCCTTTCGGTTCTTGGGCAGCTCTCTGTTCAGGGGCTTCTGTAATTAGTTCTCCCCTTTCTGTGTCACCAGGAGTACACCAAGATAAAGAATCCGAGCTCATCCTTAGAAGACTATGTTATTTTCAGAAGGTCCCTTCTTCAAGTAGAGACACCTGCCTGCCTCTGCCTAGTCTTTGCCTCTCTGGCTACCATGACCCGACGGGTTACTTTACCCACAGTGACTCCATCACTGCCATTTTCTCCTTGGTGAGAATGAACTGTAACAAACAGCCCTAACTGAGATGGAATTACCAGCATGGCCAATGGAGTCTCAGTCGGGTACTGTGAATCACACTTCCAGCATGTAACCAGCACAGCTCTCTAATGTCAGAGCCAACTCTGCCACCTGTGCCAGGAGTGTGCTGTCCACCTCCAAGTGGCCAGAGTCCTGTCGAACTCTCCCATACTGCCCACTGCTGCTCCTTCCCTTCTCCCTCACCCTTGGGCACCCAGAGTGCTGCCACTCTTGGCTCCAGCTGTCCTTCCAAACAGGGAACTCCTTCCGTGACACACAGAGCTCCTACCCCCTGTTCGTGACATGCACACTCCAAATTAACATGGCCCCTGAACAGAGGCTACGTTTTCTCTGGTAATAACCAGAGAGCTGCCACAGGTGTCCCAACACCGGAGAAAGCCTGTCATACGTACTGCACATCTGTATACTGCATGTATGGGGAATTTACAGAAAAGTCGGACTCTGCCTTTTAATCTAACTTTTCCACCTCTTCTTAGCTATGACTCTACTGCACCATCATCCCCCCCTCTCTCTCTCACTCACACACACACACACACACACACACGTGTAACCAGCACAGCTCTCTAATGTCAGAGCCAACTCTGCCACCTGTGCCAGGAGTGTGCTGTCCACCTCCAAGTGGCCAGAGTCCTGTCGAACTCTCCCATACTGCCCACTGCTGCTCCTTCCCTTCTCCCTCACCCTTGGGCACCCAGAGTGCTGCCACTCTTGGCTCCAGCTGTCCTTCCAAACAGGGAACTCCTTCCGTGACACACAGAGCTCCTACCCCCTGTTCGTGACATGCACACTCCAAATTAACATGGCCCCTGAACAGAGGCTACGTTTTCTCTGGTAATAACCAGAGAGCTGCCACAGGTGTCCCAACACCGGAGAAAGCCTGTCATACGTACTGCACATCTGTATACTGCATGTATGGGGAATTTACAGAAAAGTCGGACTCTGCCTTTTAATCTAACTTTTCCACCTCTTCTTAGCTATGACTCTACTGCACCATCATCCCCCCCTCTCTCTCTCACTCACACACACACACACACACACACACGTACATACAAATATATCTTTTCTCTTCCCACTAGAGGTCAGCTGTGTGTAGACTAGAAAGGCAGAAAGGAAGGTTTAGGAAGAGCAGAACACCAGTTACACAGACTTGCAGGTAGATCTGCAGTTCCCATGTGTTACCTTGAACGTGGCAAATGCATCTGAAGCTATGTCAAACGTTGACATTTCAACATATCTGAAGAAATCATAAAATTGTTCTGACCACAAAATGATTTTCGCAAGTGGTTCATGTCTGATGCATTCTCTTAACATTATTCCACAATTTAGAGCTATTTCTGGAGATTCATACCTACAAAAACAAACAAACAAAAAATAAGCCCAAGCATGATTAATCTTTCAAAACGCCGACGCGGAACAGTTCAAGCTCTTAGAACAGGAAGTTTCAGAAGTGTGTGCTGAGTGCACGCACGTCACAGAGGGGAAGCAGAACATTTGTCAGTGAATACCACGGAGGGCACATGCACTGGCTGGTGAGGACGCCTTCACCCAGGAAGAGTGGCCACGAGAGTGACCGTGTGAATGATGGCTCATTATCCAAACGGAAAGACATGGAGAGGAGTATTTAAGGTCACGCCACTCCACGTGGGGGTTGGCTTTTCCATGTTTAGTGCTCTCAACATTCAAAAACCCAGAAGTGAATCCAAAAACAATATAAAACAAACACAATGTTTCCCAATTCAGGAATTTACCTAAAGAGGTCCGCATGGCCCGCAGCGTATATGTCTCACTGTTTCAGTGTGACACTCAAACTGGGAGACTCTTGGCAATTTGCAAACAACGGAAGTTGGAAGCGTGGCCCCGAGGATTTCACCAGCTTCCTTCGGCAGGGGAAGACCCAGGGCCACCGAGTCGTGAGCAGGGTCGCAGGGACTCTGGCTCTCCACACAGCCCTCCTCCATACTCATCTTAGTGTCTCTTACCTCTTCCTTTCCTGCAGTCCCGGAGCCTTTCTTTTCCACCACACACCAGCCCGCGGACCTCTCTCCACCCTGCTCAACACACTGCTCTCTTTCCTCCACTTCCTGACAACTGCACACACTGGCTTACCTGTGTTCCTCGTTCACGTTTTCTGCTAGCTTCAAGTCAAATCCCATTTCTCAACACATTAGTGAAATAACTACTAGGTCAGCAAAAACCTCTTGGCCTAAACAAGCAATCTTTTTTTCATTAGCGATTCTTCTGTGTCCTGACAGTGCTGATCTTTGCCTCTCTCTCTAAAATAACAAACAGAGATGAACTCTCCCAGTTTCCTTTCTGTCTTTCTGCTCCTATTTCTTGCCTGGATGAGGTCTGTTTCTTCCAGTGTGTAAAATCCAGATTCTCACGGCTCCCACGGTGACTACTACATTCACCCCCAGCCCAAGTCTGTCCTCGGCTGTGGTCAGGCACTGTTGCCTCTGGACAACGCCAACTAGAGGGCTACCGTAAACTCGGCATGTCTGAATTCAAATCTTATCTCCCTTCAGAAAACAAGTCCCGGCTCCCCCGCTTCTTCATTCTTACTTCTTCCTGCTAATCAAAGACGAACTTCTGGCCTCCCCTCATCAGACCTACTGTTCCTGAAAAACATCATCTCCCACCATGCCTAACACTCCCAGACCATCTCCCTGATGTCACCATCATGCAGTGTGCACTCCTGCCCTGTACCTGTCCCCAGAGATGTGCCAGTAGGAGGTCTCTTTTTCTGCTTATGCCGATTCTCAGCTGTCTGTGACTCCCAAGTTCCACTCCTTTATGAGCCCTGTCTTATTAACCAAACCCGCACTTTATCTGCTGAGCTCCTGGGTCACCACTTGTCGCCCAGGCACCCTCTGTGTGCTCACCACAGATCTGCAACGAGCTCCAACTATACTCCTTTGTACCAGGTGAGGCATGGCGGCCAGAATGCTGACCGGCTGCTATTTGACTAAAACGTTTGCTCACAAAATGGCTGATCACACAATTCATCTTTGCTGATCTTTCAGAGGCAGGAGACTAGAAGGACAAGGGTGAGACAATTTGGTATAACGAGTTAGGCAGGTTTGGATGGAGGTCAGTCAAGCTTGTCCAATGACTAAACCATAAACCAGCGAGTACAGGGCAAACACTCAGGCCGTACGACATGTCAGCACCACAGCAAAGCGCACATTAACCTTTAAACTGCCAGCCCAAAACACTGCCTCCACGTGTAGCCAGACGCTAGCAATCAGGCTGCAGGTGCGTACTGACAGTAGCAGTGAAGTCCCGGCAAAGTCTAACATCAAGTTCTTACGGTCTTGACCAAATGTAACAGAAGGTAATCTGCAGAAGTACAAAAACCTTAAAACTTCAAAGGTGGCTCACAGGGCTCCTTAAGGAAATGCCTGTTTCTGGCTCTGGCAGGAACGGCACAAAATGAGCACAGTGGTCACCCTGTGCCAGAGAGCAAAGATGCTGTCACAGGCGAATGGTGCCTTGCCCAAAGCACACAGGAGCCAATGCAGGCACTTCTGATGGCCGAGAAGGGGCCATTTGGACATAAGAAAGTAATTGCCATGGACCGAGACACATGGCACATAACAAACACTGAAGTTTATGACGATGCTTAAAACACACTTGATGGCCATGGAAGCAAGGGGACGGGGCACCAAATGATTATACTTAAAAGTAGGATCTGTCTTTCCCATAGATGGCATTTTGGCATAACCAAGTCATCAATGAGGAAAAGTTCTTAATAGAAAAATAAGAAAACATTTAATTACATGGGGAAGGAATAACTGACTCAGGAAACCACCATTCTGAGTCTAGATAAGACCTTCAATAGACACTAAAACCACTGGGCAATCTAAGCGTCACCAGGTGTGGGACAGCCAGTGCCGCCCAGTAAGACATATGTCTCACCATTCATGAAGAATTCTCGCCCCACAAAGCGAATCTGAATCTAAATCCCTAGAACTAAACACCAACTTGAAGATACAGAGAACAGCAGAACATGTTAAATAAAACCACAGGCATAGTGGTTTTAAAATAGTGACTTCTCTACAAAACAAATTATTCAATTGCTTCAACAAATAAACGGCATAAATTTAAAGAGAGGGGGAGGGAGGGAGAGGAAGAAAAAGAGGAAGAGGAAGGGGAGAGAGTGAGAGAGAGAGAGAGAGAGAGAGAAGGCACATAAACTATTAGAGTTAAAAGTCCTTCAAATAAATTCGGTTTTTGGATCTTGTCTGGAATCTGACTTAAACTCCCTGTAAAATGCCAGCTTTGTGAGGAGAATCATAGCTGCACCAGGCAATGCCAGATTTGTACGTGGTGTGGCTGTTCCCTGCGATGCAGTTCTAGTGTGGGACCTGTGTATCACACTGCTATGTATTCTGCACTAGGTATGCACACTGAAGTGATATATCGTGTGTGAGGACAGAAAAAGGCAGGCAAGGAACAGAGGACACAAGACCACAGACTGTCACTAACTGGTGAAGCTGCGTTTGGGTAGGAAAGGGCTCGTCACATCAACCCCTCCAGCTCTGTGTGTACTTTCCAGAACACAGGCTGGAGGAGGGTGCTGGGGAGGAGGTGTCAGTGAGCTGACGCCAGCTGCTGAGCTTCTCTTCCTTCTCTCCCTGGCAGGCCTCTGGTCTGGCCAGCTCAGATGAGGCTTTAAACTTTACGCAGTATCTCAAAAGCATTTTCCGTGTTTGACAAGTTCATATCCTACCCCTGGCTACTTTAAAACGTAAGTAAAGTTAATTAATTTATAGATTGTAATAATCACTGCTTTCTATGGAAAAGGAAATACTGGCTTTAAAGGTACACAAAGACATCTGGAAACTGTCCCAAGAACACCAAAATTTCAGGCTACATACTGTGTGTTCGTGCACACAACTCTGGATTGATGCAACAAAGAACTAGTCACCAAAAGGTTTTTTTTAGTAACTTAAAAAAGTATTTTATTTAGTTTTGCTTATTCATTCATTTATTTTAATTTGACCAGAGAGAGACACAGAGAGAGAAAGAGAGAGCGGGAAAGTGAAAAAGCAAGCCACCAGATCCGGGACTTGAACCATGGCCAGCCGTGTGGGAGCGTCCAGTGCCTTAACTACCACATCACCTGCTGGTTCCTAGTAGCCAAAAGTTCTGTGTGATAGCACCTGAGGAGGCAGCAGGGATAGTAAGAAATAGGAAGAAGGAAGCAGGACGCTGGCATGTGACATGGCCACCGCCTTGTGCTTTGTCTCAAGTTTGAACTTGGGGGAAGTGTTAAACCACAGAGATAGGAACCTGAGAGAGGCAAGCTATGAAGCCAGGTTAGGGGAGCAACCTGACTCATGCCAGCAGCCATGCCAGCACCATGCCTGCCCACCAATTTAACATGCACCCCGTCCATAGCTGGCAACTGACTCTGGTGTGAAACAACAGGAGGTCACCTTGCCAGCCACAGAGGAGCAGGGCTGAGGGAGAAGAGGATCGATCGATCCACCTGTCTATCTATCATCTATTATTCTAGTTTCTAGGCTTTTTTGGTTTTGTTTGTTTTTTAAACTGATGGACTGCTATGCTTAGCCGAGTAGTGAGCCCAGGAAGATGTACTGTGACTTACCGAATTAAGTGGGTTAATGAGTGGACACACAGGAAGTCAGAGGGTACCGCCTCGGAAACACGCACCTGGGTGACTAGACCACGAGCCTTCACACTGCACTTATGAGCAACTCTTACTGCCTTATCATGTGAGGCCATGTCCAAAGGACCTGTCTTTAAACTCAGGACTTGGCTCATATTTCAACGATATTAAACATTTTTTATCTTAGAGAATAGAAATAAAACTATGGAGGATTTATTTTTTTCCCTTCATAATATTTGATTTGTGCATATAAAGGCTCACAATTCACCTAATTTTAACCTCGCGTCTGTAGGGCACTTTCAAACTCCATTTAGCTCACATGTTGAATTCTCAGGAGGGAAATGTGTTCAACATCCATGGGAAAACGAGCTGACTAAACTGCAAAGAAAATGTAGTTCCCACATTTGCCATCCTGTTTTCTCCCAAGGCAATCATTCCTTCTAATTTTCAACTAGGAAAATAAATTTTATTATGTTATACATACCCTTTCAATAACATGAACAAAATATTCTGTTGGGTGCAGATGTACTCAACAGTAGGAGTTCTTGTACCAATTTGTCTTCTGAGAATATTGTTGAAAATTTGAGCCACGTCTTTTTTGCCCTATTAGGAATACAATCATTAAGATATTTACCTGACTAAGCATCAAAATGTCCATCCACCCTCCCAAATAAACTAAAACAAAGCCATTGTATATTTATGGTTAAGACTGAACATCTGACTTTAAAACGTTCATAGACATTTGATTTTATTTTATCTCTTCATTTACAATTCCAAATTCCCAGTTTTGATAGTATACTACATTAACACAAAAAATGTGAAATTTTACTACACACCACATATAATTCCAGCTGTCTCTAACATTCAGAATCCTGTTGCTTCAGATATAAAAAGCAAAACTGGCTATATATTTACATCGAAAGGGATCTGAATCCCACCCACTAGAACAAGCAGTGCAAACAGGACGGGTGTGTGTGAACAATACATATACTTCCCCTTTATGGTGATGGAAGCAGGGGAAACGTCAGTATAATAAAAATGAAAGAATTCTGTAAAAAAGCTGAGCTTTAATGGTAAGTAGAAGCATACCCCTATGAAACTAGGTCTACTTGCAAAAGATTTTATTTAAATCAATAATGAAGGTACCAAGCAAGTATCACACGGTGCAGTGGTTGAGAGATCACAACCTCATGACACTACTGTACAAAACCTCATGACATCATTGCCATCCTGTGAACCCTACAACCAGAAAGCTGCACAAGAAATTAACAAAGAAGAACTGGGCCCCAAAAGATGAATGGTCGCTTGCTATAAGGCGGATGAGGCAGGAAAATGAGTGAACTGCGGCTTTCCAGGTCCCTACCTAAGCCCACACAGGGAGCTCCCTGGGATCTGCACTAGCTCAGAAGTAATAAATGCGATCTCTTAAGAGCCAGTATAAGGACACACACTTCTTGTAAACTGATGTCTCCTATGTCCCAAATGAACATTAAATTCAGCGTCCAAGCTGAGAAGTGGGATGGGTGAAGGCAGACAACAAAGGAGAAGGAACTAGATGTTCCAGTGTATCTTCAACTTTGCAGAACACAGAAAAAATTTTGTTATTGGAATCTGATACACCATTAAAAATTCATGAACTCAGCTATAAAAATGGAAATATCCTAATTCTATCTACTGTACAGTAGAACAGAAATACATTTTTCTTTCCTTTTATTATTAGTATTATATTTGAGTAACCTATGAACCATTCCCCCTCATCTTTCTCCAAAATGTAAACTGGCTGCACGTCCGTCATTTTCTCCCCAAAACAGGTGCCAGTCTTTCAAGCACCTGCAGACAGCCAATAGCTCAGCTAAAACCACTGGGGTTTAGAGCAAAGCACACTCGTGACAAAGAATCAGAGAGGTGACTACCCATACAATGGCAGAGCACTTCACTGCCCTATACTTCTCAGACTGGTTTATTCAGGCTGATTTCAGAGACAGTCATCCTCACCACTAAAATCACTAGATATGTAGCAGTACAGTCCAACTGCAGAAGCCAGGGCAAGCATCTCAAGTGCCTACCAGGGCTCGGCACGGGGTACGCATGGGCAAGGCAGGTCCTGAGACAGAAAGCGAGTTGTGCTGTCTGCAGAAAACCCAGCGTGATGCCCTGTGCTGCTGCTTTGCTCCAGATGAGGGCTAGGGAGGACCACGAGCCCAATGTGGCCAGTCAAATTTTTCAAGAGAGGCCAGCAATTCAGAATTATATACAAAAATCTATCATTTAAATATTATACAAGTTAAAAAATTTTAAATCAGTACTAAGCAAACAGAATGCTTATCTCTGCTGAAATGAATTCTCAACGGGTTAAAAAAAAAAAAAAAAAGAGAGACCTAACTGGATCTTCTCTAAGATCTTATCTACCTCTAAAACTCTACCATACTGTGCTTTTCTTCTTTATATTGTTTATTCCTTGAGAGCCAAGGACCAGTGAATTATACAATATGCTTCAGTACTTTAAACAGCACCTGTTTATTAACTACAACTTAAACAATGTGGTGAAACAGAGGGAAAAGACCCAGCCTCAGCCTGAGGCCCTCCTGAGCTCCTGCCTTGGCCCTGTTAATTGGGTAGCAGCCCAGGCATGCTTACAGAGGTCAGCAACCTGAGCCAGGGGCTCAGCAGGAGTTTTAAGATGTTCCCAAAAAGACACCATCTGGAAAAGGACTATAAAGAAGGGTGCTGGTTTTTAAAAACAAGAAACAACGGGTTAAAAAAAAAAAAAAAAGAGAGAGACCTAACTGGATCTTCTCTAAGATCTTATCTACCTCTAAAACTCTACCATACTGTGCTTTTCTTCTTTATATTGTTTATTCCTTGAGAGCCAAGGACCAGTGAATTATACAATATGCTTCAGTACTTTAAACAGCACCTGTTTATTAACTACAACTTAAACAATGTGGTGAAACAGAGGGAAAAGACCCAGCCTCAGCCTGAGGCCCTCCTGAGCTCCTGCCTTGGCCCTGTTAATTGGGTAGCAGCCCAGGCATGCTTACAGAGGTCAGCAACCTGAGCCAGGGGCTCAGCAGGAGTTTTAAGATGTTCCCAAAAAGACACCATCTGGAAAAGGACTATAAAGAAGGGTGCTGGTTTTTAAAAACAAGAAACTGATTTCTTACCTCAAAGTCAATGAGCTGTAAGTCAGCTACCAGGGTGCTGAGGAGACCGCTATTATACAGTTCTTGAGCCAGCTGAGCCACTGCTTCTGTCTGCGGCTCTTTTTCATTTGTGCCATACAGAATTTCTTTCATGGCAACCAGATTTTTGGAAACCTCTTCTGTAGCCTGATTGTGGGGCGAGGAGAAGAGGAGAAATTCGTTTTAACATGCATGTAACAGACCCACATTTATTAACTCACTACTAAATACACACAGACCTCGGTACGAGAACAAAAAAGGGCAAATGCCACCCCTGCCCTCACTCTTGGGGGCGAACACTGTGCATGTGTGCACACAGGGACCAATATGCACGCCCCTGAGGAAGCGCGCACATACCCCCTCGAACACTGAAGACCATGAGGATACACGCAGAAACAAGGCAGGGAGAAAAGGTCCCGTTCATCAAGAAACATCAAGAGGCACCTGAGCTGACCTTGACAAGCCAAAGGGTGGGCATGAACCAGCACGAAGAAGGGGCAGTACAGGGTCTCAGAAAAAGTGTGGAGGGAAGAAAGGTGATAGCAGAATATGAAGCTGAGAAAGGCTTTGAGTACATAGCTGAGGTGTTTGTGAAAAATTAAAGTCACCAAAGAGGCCAAGATGGAGGAACAGGGGCCAGATTTATCTTCTCCTATGAAAAAGAATAACAAGTAAGATCTAGGAAATGAATGAGCCTTAAACCCTGGACTTCAGGCAGCACAGGAAAGTGATTCCCAAGGGAAAACGAAGTAACCTCACAATGGCAGGCACTTACTACCAGACCATAGCTCAGGGATGGGGAGCAGCTAGGAAGGTGGTCTCCATCAGTCATGTAAGAGCTGGGCAGCCGGGGAGGCCAAGGGGCTGGCGTGCACAGGGCAGAGCACCAGTACTTGTGTCGGAGAACAACTCCAGCTGACATCATGAAGCACATGCATGTGAAAAAAGCAGCCAAGGCCAGGGGACAGAACCAGGGCACTCACACACATGGCTGGAAACAGCTCCTGCTCCCACCAGCCTTAGTGCAAAAACACATTCACAGGGCATTAGGCAGAGTACTCAAGAGGGTTTTGTAGTTATACAGTATTACCCTAAACTCTTTCCTGGTCCTACCTCCAATGTTTCATAGCAAGCCTGCAAAGAACCAAAACTTGAATACTCATCAAGTAATGAAGAGACAGAAACTGCTCTGGATATGATGCAGACGTCAGAATGAACAAACAAGGACACTGATGTAACTACAGCTCTACTCAAAATCATGTTTAAGAAAAATAAAGCATGTTAAACAGATAAATGGAAGACATTATAACAAAAAAACCCCAAACTGAACATTCAGAAATAAAAACTACAATGTCTGAGAGGCACTGGCTAAAAGTAATGGGAGTTAGACACTGTAGAAGAAAAGATTATTAATCGTGAACACTAAGCAGGAACTATACAAAATTAAACAGAGAGGGGAAAAAAGACATACTATCAGTGAGATATGGGATGACTTTACAACCTAATATATGCACTCACCAAAGTAGGGAGAAAGGTCGACAAAATATTTGAACACATGCTAAGACAAAAAATCTCCTAGTGTGGTAATAACCATAATCCCACAAAGCCAAAACATTCAAAAATTCTGAGCAAAAGAAATAGGAAGGACTATACCAAGGTACAGAATTATCAGATTGCTTAGCTTCTATGATATAAGAAAAAAATCTCAAAAGCAGCCAGAAGGTTGGGCTGGAATTTGGTGTGGAGGTTAAGGTGCTGGAAACCCAAATAGCCAACCATGGTTTTGAGTCTCAGACTTGGCACTAGAGAATCACACCAAGCATGCATACGTGCATACCAAAAATCCCTAAACAGGAGAATGAAGAAGGGACTGCAGCACACACACATACATATCCCTGCCTGGGGACAATTTATCATTTTCCCTCTCTGTCTCGTGCATGTGCCTATGGCAAAAACTGAAAGGAAAAAAAAAAAAAAAAAGGCAGCTAGAAGTTAAAAAGCATTAAGACACCCTCCCTGGGAACCAGCAGTTAGCGTAATGGCTATGTCGCTGGACTCCCATGTAGTCGACTGCGGTTCGTGTCCCGGACCCGGTGGCTTAAAACTCACACCGGGCGCGTGTGCGTGCGTGCCCAAGATCCCAAGAGGAGAATGGAGGAGAAGGGATTGTGGCGTGACCATCCCCCCGGGGGGTGATTTCTCGCTTTCTGTCTCTATGTCTCTCTCTGTCTGTCTGGCGAGCGCACGCGCCCTACAGTGAAAATCTCTCCAAAAAAAAAAAAAAAAAAGACACCCTCCCTAAATAAAAGAATAACAACAGACTTTTTCATAGGAATGGTGAAAGTCAAAAGACAGTGGACAAACACTGTTAGAGTATTGGGAAAAAAAAAAAAAACAAACGAATCATCTGAGAATTTTATTATACCAAGTGAAAATACTTTTAAAATGTGAAGGTAAGATAGAGAGTTTTGGAGACACAGAAAACGAGAAAGATCTCATCATCAGATTTGTACTACAAGAAATGTTTAAGAAAATCTTACTGACATAAGAAAATGATTCAAGATGAAAATATGCATGTATTCTAAGGATCAAAGAGCACTGAGGAGAGTAATGTAAATAAATGGAAAACATTTTCCCCTATTATTTTAGCAAATGTTTTTAAAAGAGATTGGTTATTTAAAGCAAAATAAACAATGGAGCCTGGGGTTACGATACATGTAGAACAGAAATGTACGGCAATGAGGCTCACGGGGACCATGGAAGTACAGTGCTGTTAAGTTCTTACCTATGTACAAGAGGCAAAAGAGGGCAAGTGCCACACCACCCTCAGGAGCTGAAGACTGCGCACATGTACACACATGCTCCTTAGTCAGCCCACAATCATGAGCAAGCATGTATGCAAGGAGGTCTCTGGACCTGAACTGGGAACCTTCTTCCATAGGACTGCCTCATAAGAGTATCACGTTTTACCTCCACTATCTGACTCTGGGCTATAAATTTTTAAAAATACATAACGTGGTATAATATTTCCTAAGACAGACTGTAGTTAAGTTAAAGGTGTTTACTATAAACCCTAAAGCAACCACTAAAAAACCAAAACCAAAACAAAAGAAATAAAGAGTTATAGCTAATAAACCAAAAAAGGAGACTTAGGGGGAATATTAAAGATATGTGGAAAACATAAAGGCAGTAAAACCTATATAAACGGAAGCATTTATGACCTAAAATATACTTGAAGGAGATTACTTAGCATAGATTCATAGAACATCAGCATTTAATTGTACTGAGTTCCGTGGTACTCCCTTTACAACCTTCTAACCTTCTTAACCAAATGGTTGCATTGCTTCACCTTAAATATTTCAAGTGTCCAGTAATGCAGTATTAGCAGATTGCAGAACAGATAGCTGTTAGACACTTTTGTAATGAGACAAACATTGCCTCACTACACTGTCTGCGGGCCCTGGCTCTGCACTGCAGATCAGGCTGATTCTAACTTCTCTTCCACACGAAGTCTCCCTGTTTGGAGGCAGCTTGGCTTTTCTTCTCTACATGGTTGTCTTCTCCAGAAGACCTCCTCTCAGCTTCTTTAACTATCCTAAGAAAGGTAGGGCTAATGCTCTAACCTATCCAGAATGAAATGATGCAGAGGACACAAGACCACACTTCCCTGTTGTTAATGCAGCCCAAAGCTAACTTTTAAGAAATTTTGTAATTATATCATGTCATATCGTATCATCTCAACCTTCTTGAGAGCATAGAGCGAATTAAACTTCTTTAGCTTTCACAGGCATTCCATGTTAAAATCAGATCTTTCCAAATGTTCTAAAACTGGGGTGGAATGAAAATACAACCAAGACTAACTTTTTTCATTATTTAATTTCATCATCGGCCCTTCCTTCAAGACTGGAGGTAGTCTGGATTTTGAGGGCATCTAATACACCAGCTATTACTTTCAGATTTGTATCATCTCAAAGTCTCACAGATATGCCTCTCATGGCCTGCCTCCTACACTGACCAAAATACTAAGAACCATGTACGGAGCCATCGTCACACTCTTTTCAGTAGCAATCTACCAATAATCCTTGGGCATGCTTTTGAGTCCTTTATAAATGCACCTATTTCAAATTATATTCAAAAGGCTTTGTGTTAAATATTTTTACAAAATGAGAATATGTTATTTCTTCTGTATTTCCTGGCTGTAAGAAAATGAACTATGAGGCCAGCAGGTGGCATGCTGGTTAAGGCGCTGGATTCTCACATGGCTGACCACGATTCAAGTCCCAGACCCAGCAGCATAAAAAACAAACCAAGCGTGTGTGTATGCATGCCCAAAATCTTAAGAGGAGAACAGGAAAGAAAGAATTTTTAAATCATTACATGATTTTAAATTCTAATTCACACTGTGCTTTCTTCGGGAGCAAAAGGCTGAATCTAAGAAGCAGGGTTAGTAATATCTCAAAAGTATGGGTTTTGCTTGAAGAAATGTTCAAAAATCAACTGTGGTTGTGGCTATACATATCTGTGACCATACTAAAAACCACTGAATTGTACACTTTAAGAAAATGAGTGAACTGTATGGTATGTGAATTGCATTTCAATACAGCTTTTTTCTCTTAAAAATAAAGGGAGGGGAGGAGAGGTAGAGGTATAATAAGAAAACTATTCATCGTACTTTTTATTTAACTTTATTTATTTAATTTGACCAGAGACAGAGAGTGACTGTGTGTGCGTGCGTGTGTGTGTGTGTGTGTGTGTGTGTGTGTGTGTGAGAGAGAGAGAGAGAGAGAGAGAGAAGGTAAGCCGCCAGGTCTGGGATTCGAACAGCTGTTAGCCATCTGGGAGTCCAGTGCCCTTAACCACCACGCCACCTGCCAGCCCTGAGAAAACTATTTATTGTACTTCTGAGTTGGATGGCAACCTGAACTCACACAGAAAGGCCCCTCCCTTTCAGAAGAGGGTATCGTCACCAACATTACAGGTGGAGAGAGAAAACCAATGAAATGCCTTTACCTGCTGACCAGTATATAACCATCCACTGACACTAACCCTCAACTGCTTTGAGCCACTCCCCTTCCACCTTCTCAAGGCCCATCCTGCCATATCATCTCCATCTCATACTCTGTAAGTTAATTCCCCCCTCTTGATTT